CGCACAATTTACTAATTCATTCTCTCGATTTATAAATTGTGTGCACGATATAGCAAATCGAGGGAACGAATTAGTAAATTGTGCGCACAATTTATAAATCGAGGAAGCGGAATTAAATAGTAAATTGTGCACATGATTTAGCCTACTATTTTTTTCCTGCATGCCATGTGCGGGGCTCCGTACAAATGACATGCATTTTTGGAATAAAATGGTCAAATATTTTGTTTTTGCTAAGACTAATATTTTCCTGTTTTTTTTTTTGTTTTGTTTTTTGTATAGCTTTACAAAATTATAGCATAATAGCAATCTTTACATAATCATTTAAATAAGCAATAATTAAAATTCTGATGGGCATATCAAAGTTTAAAACTAAAAGTCAGGCTCTGTGACAAGGATAAAACAATAAAACCAATAGATAAATGTGTTTTTAAAATACCAAAGTAAATAAGGGAGCATGTTTTTTGTTTTGTTTTTTATCAAAAGGCACTTTTAATGTGTCTATCATATCAGAAAAAAAAACTGTTATTTTTTTAAATAAAGTTCGACCACTGGAACATAAAAATGGCCATAGTTAAAATAACTCCAACCCTAGCTTGCTGGAGTCAATATGTGAAAATATCTCTTACCGTTTTTCTCGATTGCTTAAACACATTTCTTGAAATTGTGACTCCTTTTCTCGAAACTCTAAACACAAATCCATAACTTCTCACCCAATTCCCCATACTTCCTATTTTCAGGTCAAAATGAAGCTCTCCACTCAAAACTATTCAATCTTGCTGACAAAAACAACAACTTTGCCCTCGGACATGACACACAAGCCCTCAGTAACACACACACTACAACATAGTCTTTACACACTAATGAGATCAATTCATAACACCGTTGCAAAAACCTTCTTTTGGCAATCAGGTATCATTTTACAGCTCAATGTCTATTACAGTATACAACATAATTAGAGCACATACATGTTACAGTAAATATAGCAGATACAGTGAAATTCAACAATAAGCTTTACAGTAAGAAAATATTATTTTCATTACACTGCTGTAAAGAGATCTTACAGTACAATAGATGAAAAGCACTAGAAAGGAAAGGTCAAATACCAAAGAATTGCATATGAACACACAACAGAATGTGTCATCTCTTAGTTCTGCAAAAATACAGTACATGTAAGAAGTACTTGTACAACAAATCAGTTCAGCAGTTACAGTATGAGTTTGAAGGTGTACAACTTGTGCTTCAGTATTTACTATACATATATAAAAAGTAAAAGTTCTCTCATCTGAAGTACTGCTACTGGTTCTGTCATTATATTTGATCTGTAAGTAGTATTGAAAGCCTGTAGATGAGCCTGTTGGCCAGCTGTCCTCGTGCACAAGAACATGATCAACTACAGCACTGTGTATTTCATCAGGAATAAATGTCCTTTGACCCCGTCCCCTTCATTTTTATTTTTCCCCTCCTCTTCCTCTTTGTCTCCCACTAGTATGATTCATTTTCCAAATCACATAATCAGCTGTGCTCTTGTTCATATAATCCTGAGATTCTGACTGCTGTGTCATCAGTTTTGCTACTTAATGTTCACACATGGATAAATTGTGCTGTTTGAGTTTAAATTGTGATTCTTGAGGTAGTTATATTGTGTGTTTGTGTTTTCTGAATGAGAACATGGTTAAACCTGTGCAAAATGATGCCGTTCTTGTGTAGAGTTTTGCAGAAAACACTGAGCAAATTGGAGCGTGTGTGAAAACAGGTGAAATTTGTTTAAAGTTTTGAGAAACATGTCTTTGTTTTAGGAACTGTATGAATGGTTTGGAAAATTGTGCCAAATTAATCAGTTATAGTGCGTTAGCAATCGAGAAAAACTGTAATTAAAACAAGATTTTTTTAGAGGGTTGAATGTAATGCTACTAAGATTTTTTTATTTTCTTCTGCGTATACCGAAATAAAATCCTGTGTGCACCGGTATCTGTCTGTCTATAACTGAAAAAACAGAGCTGAAAACATAGAGTGGATAAAAGAGACTAAGGTCTGATAGAGGTGAACACAAATACTGCAGACGCAGAGTTACTGCATGATGCATGGACACACATCTCATATAACACACTGATCTCTGGGCAAACACAAATAACTGCACAGCCATAAATGGACCTGTGTGTGATAGCATCACAGACTCATCTCAGCCGAGCAGGAGGGCCGAGCAAATACAATCACTGGTGCTCGATCAGACCCTCTGCCCAGCCCCTTCACTTCACAGGGACCGCAAAACACACAAAGTCTAGAGCGCTGTGCGGCTGCATGTGGGCAGACGGCAGATGAGGACATCATGACAGATGATGAGTTATTCTCTTTCAGCCACATGTGCAAGAGCAAAACAATAATGACCGGCGCACTGAGAGCTGATACGCTGATTGCTGATCTTTAGTGTTTCTGTGTAATAATACTGTAGTTGAAAGATGACCTTTTAGCAACTGTATATAACTCTATGATGGAAGGAACTATATAACACTTAATATGGCTGCCTCCATCTTGCTTGCTGGTCTTTTTTCTTTTCTTTAAACCTACTGGTAGTCCTGTATGTGAAGTGATGTGACGTGACGTGACGTGACGTGAAGTGATGTGATGTGATGTGATGTGATGTGATGTGATGTGATGTGATGTGAAGTGATGTGATGTGAAGTGAAGTGATGTGAAGTGTCCCATACTCAGAATTGTGCATGTTCATTATATAACTGTAACTTATAACTGAAATACAACTGAACATGTTTTGGTCAGCAGCTAAAATAATTAAAATTGTGCCTATGTCCAAATATATATGGACCTGACTGTATATATAAATAATAAATGTCAGAAAAATCTTATTAATTCATTAATTGTTCTTTTCTTTTTGTTCATACATAATACCACGGTGAAACTAGATGCTTGTTCATAAATATACATGTAGGACTGTGTATTCCCTAATTGTTTGTAAGACTAATTTCAGACACGATTATTTATTTTTATTAGGTTTATATATATATATATATATATATATATATTTAGACATAATCAAAGACTACTTCATTGTGGCTGATTTATAAATTGTACCCCAAAAATTGCTCTGTATTTTCAAAATTTTCTTTTTTCCCCATTCATTTTGCTATGGTGGCATAGCTAGTGCTAAGTCTGGCTAAGACCATTTTAGTTTTATACAAGAAGACAAATAGAACTAAATTTGCTTTATTTCTTAAGACATGGCCACTTCTACTCATTACTTTGGTGTAGTAATGTGTTTTAAGCATAAAATATAATTTTTACTTAAAAGGTTAAACAAGATAAACTGTTTTTGTAAATGCTATAAGAGGCCAATTCAGAATAATGAAAAATATATTTTAAAAATAAATTAATGTATCAATGGGCATTAATGGACATCTTAAGCAGTTGGTTACCTTTTGAACACATAAAAAAGTTATTCCAAGATTGTATTATTATTATTATTATTATTATTATTACGAATTATTTAATTTTAGGTTTCATTTAAAATATATTTTAAAATGTGTATTTTTATTTATTTAATATGTTTTTTAATTAATTTGTAATTCAATTAATATGTTTTTGTTCATCTGTTAAATTCTATAGGTATACTTTAAAATAATACAATTTGATAAGTATACTTTAAAAGAATGTTTGGTTACCAATATTCTTCAAAATACCTTGTGCTCAACATAAGAAAGAAACTCATGCATGTTTGAAACAACTTGAGGGTGAGTAAATGAAGACAATTTTCATTATTGGCTAAACTTTCCCTTTAAGTAAAGTTTCCCATTTAAAACGTGTCACTTTGTATCAATATACTCATTAAAAGCAATTAAAAGAAACCTTTTAGAAAACACATATGTGCATTTTATCACATCTCTAGCTGTGATATAAATTATTTATTTTCTCCCTCACTGAGCGTACATGAGGTTATTAAAGATGGTACACAGCTACACCTAGTGGTGACAAACGGCACTGTGGAGAAGGACAAGATTAATGATCTGCCCCCTTCTACGGAGCCTTTGAGCGCTTTTTCTCTCCTTGATTCATTCCTTATTTATGCCAGGTATTGTTAACTTGACCTCAGAGCAAAAAGGTGAAGGAAAAGATCCTGGAAAGGTTACAACACCATTTAAGTTCTGTGGACACTGACGAATCATCCTTTTGCTCAGTTTACAAGTAAACAGCACATGAGGCGAAATATTTTCCCCATTTTCCTTGACCTATCTTCCTTTGGATCATGTATACAGAGGGTCAAATACTCGCATGTGCTGACCTGCTTCTACTAAAAACTCTCCTAGTTCACAAGGTGTTGCGAACAGATGGGTCATGACCCAAAAAAAGGTGGCAGGTCTGTTCTGAATTGTAAAAAGAAAAAAATATGGCAAATGCAAATACCAAAATGCAACTAATCATATAATCATGTCTAGTTAGGATAGCAAAATAAATATGCTAATTAGTTTTGACACCTGGGGATGATTAATTCATTCTGTGAAGTATTTGGCTTGTCATGTGATCTCAACATGGCACTCTCCGTGAGGTGACCTGCTTCATGTATAATAAATCAGCTTTTACTAGGCTACTGATTTGACTTGATTCTTCATCCAATGTGAGTGGACAACATTTTCAATAGATATTTCTTTATGGATAAAACTTTTTAATGAGTGCACCAATAAATGGGAAATCACTTGCAGCATAGATGAACATGGTTTTACCGGCCACAACACATTCTGTGCAGTGAATAACTGGCTGCCAAGCATACTGTAAAACCATTGAAATTCAAGAGACTTTTATAAAGCAAACCCTCAAACTATAAAGAGATGTCTGTTGAGTTTTTCAAAAGACAGCAACAAGATCCAAACATATCATAACAAATCATTAAAAAATTGTGTGTGCTACTGAATCACTCACCACACTGCAAAGCACTAGAAATCCCACTCAACTGCACAAATTGCATTGTTTGATTTATTTTATATATATACAATAAATGATTTTTTTACTTTCCCAGCTGAAAAGACCAGCTTAGATCAGCATTGGTTTCCATACTATTAATCTGATCTAATTAACTGGTCTAGCTGTTGTCTTTTATTTATTTATTTATTGTCTGTCTGTCTGTCTGCCTGTCTGTCTGTCTGTCTGCCTGTCTTTCTGTCTGTCTGTCTGTGTCTGTCTGTCTGTCTGCCTGCCTGCCTGCCTGTCTGTCTGTCTGTCTGTCTGTCTCTGTCTGTCTGTCTGTCTCTGTCTGTCTGTCTGTCTCTGTCTGTCTCTGTATGTCTGTCTGCCTGCCTCTCTGTCTGTCTCTGTCTGTCTGTCTGTCTCTGTCTGTCTCTGTATGTCTGTCTGCCTGCCTCTCTGTCTGTCTCTGTCTGTCTGTCTGTCTCTGTCTGTCTCTGTATGTCTGTCTGCCTGCCTCTCTGTCTGTCTCTGTCTGTCTGTCTGTCTCTGTCTGTCTCTGTATGTCTGTCTGCCTGCCTCTCTGTCTGTCTCTGTCTGTCTGTCTGTCTCTGTCTGTCTCTGTATGTCTGTCTGCCTGCCTCTCTGTCTGTCTCTGTCTGTCTGTCTGTCTCTGTCTGTCTCTGTATGTCTGTCTGCCTGCCTCTCTGTCTGTCTCTGTCTGTCTGTCTGTCTCTGTCTGTCTCTGTATGTCTGTCTGCCTGCCTCTCTGTCTGTCTCTGTCTGTCTGTCTGTCTCTGTCTGTCTCTGTATGTCTGTCTGCCTGCCTCTCTGTCTGTCTCTGTCTGTCTGTCTGTCTCTGTCTGTCTCTGTATGTCTGTCTGCCTGCCTCTCTGTCTGTCTCTGTCTGTCTGTCTGTCTGTCTGTCTGTCCGTCTGCCTGTCTGTCTGTCTGTCTGTCTGTCTCTGTCTGTCTGTCTGTCTGCTGGTTAATCAAGAGAGGGTTGCTGCTAGTCTACTAAACATATGTTGGTGGTCAACACAGGGAGTTTAATCACTAGTCAATGTCCACTGTAATTAGTGGCCTTCCAGTGTGTTTTTTTTTTTCTTTTTAATGGTCAGTGCTGAGATCCAAAGACAGAATTGCTGTTAAATAGTAAAATCTATTAAAAGCAAAAAAATGTTAACAGTTAAAACTTAATAAGCATAATTTTTTTCCTAAAACTATGCTTTATGTTTATTAAACTTTTATTTATGTTTATAATCTTTAATTTTTAATTGTTAAACTTTGTAATAAATAAACAAACAAACCAACTGAAAGGTCCTTAGGGGAACAAGAAAACCACCTTTCAGAACCTGCACAGTTTCAAACTAAAATCCAGCACACAATGATTGTGCAGCATCTGTGGAAAGATACGTCATTTTGCTTAAATGTGATATCAGCATATTTGCTTATGGTAGATGATAGGCATTTATTGTTTTCCTCTGTTATTAGGTAAGACAGTTAAAGTGACAGAAAACTGTTAAGGAGAGAAAGGAGAATAAAATATCTTGAGCTCATATGTGATGTCTGCTCTGATATTTAAATTAGAATTTTTTTATTATTATTATTGTATTTTTTTTGCATGCTGGTCTTAGAAATATACTGTAGGGTGGGGGTGGGGGGGGTGTTGATACAACCCAATCTCATGAGTATATGTAGCTGTTTTGGTATATTTGTCAAATTTGATTCATATGAAAACTTAAAGCAAATAATAAGCATACTGTAATGATAAAGCAAATTGTAAGCATACAAATGAAATTGCACAAACCTCCAATTCGCTAAAACATCAAATAGTTATGAATTGCATTGAGACTGTGTTGGTTGATAATAAAAATGCCAAAGCTAATGGTTTATAAAATGTGTCTGAAAACATTTCTCTCTAACTCTTACTTTCAGCCCCAGTTGCTGAAATCACCCTGCATTCTGACAGAGAGGAAATAGTGAGACGCGCCATGAACCTTTTGAACTCTTGAGAGACGTACTTGAACTGTTTGTGTGGAAGCTTGAATATAATCCATCCCTGTTGCATCTGTACTCTTCATCGCATGGAGAGAGTCCTGTGCGTAACCCTGATATCTCATCTCTCTGCCTCTGACCTGGTGCTCTGATGGGTTGTAACTAGAGCCTGCTTTCCTCTTTGGAGGAAGGCAGACTAATTTACTGTGGAGGTCCCACACTGTGGCCTACATTTCAAACTGAGATTTCCTTCATGGCTGTATCCTGGGGATACCCGAAAGAAACACAATGAAACGCAGAGGAGCTTTTCCATAGCAATGAGCTCCGCTAACCCTGCTAAAACTAGTTACTTAAACCAGAGTTTGATCTCTTAATATCTCAAAGGAGACTATCAATTTTAGGGTGGTTTGCTTTAAGAAACATATAGGCCAAACTGGTACAAGAGGGTAGCAAATTTCTACTCTCTGTTAGCCGTGTCACACACATGAACTGCTAATGACTGTAAGAGAATTTGTTCATAAAACAGCACAAAGCTGGATTATCTACTGACCTTTTGAAACTCACGCTGGCCAAATCTGATCATTTTTAGTTTGGGGTCAGGATTCAGTCAGTGTGTACTGTAAGTCTGCATTATACTCGCATCGTCAGACATTTGACTTTTGGCTGATCCACAGTGAAGTCTATTCTGGCTAATGTGTTCCATTCATCTCAGAAAGTCTGAATTTCTTTCTGTACACTAAAAAAATTGATGTAAAAAAAAAATGGTGAAATGCATGGCAGCACAGTGTGCCAAATGTTTAATTTTATCCAAAATAATGGATAAAAAACGTTTAAAAAAAAAAGGTCAATGACTGGCAGAAGCGGCTGCCAAACAAAACCTTTCAAATTAAGGTAAAATATCCTAATTGATATCCTTTTTTTTATGTTTTAGAAAAAACTCTGTTATTATACAGGTATTTCCTGGATTATTATTGTGAAACATTCTCTGTAAAACGCAAATCTTTTGTAGTTAAACATTAGCTAGCAACAGCATGCATGAGTTAATGTAACTATCACTGCATCAGCAACACAGTTACTGCCTTTAAATAAAGTAACATGCAGCACAACACCAGTGTTTCTTGGTCTTCTCCTGGACTGAAGCACAGGAGAGAAAGGAACAATTGAAATCGCATCATATGACCCCTTTAAATACCAACAGAACATTAAACACAAACATAGCCTATCTCTCTAGATCTCAGCAGCTTCACTTATTGCAGTCCAGTCTGACTTTAATTCTTTCAAACAAAACTTCTTATTGAGAATTAACTGAGGTTTAGATGTTGATGTTTTATTGGAAATAATAAAGTTTGAAGTCACTGTTGTGGAGATAAGCATTTGCTTTAGTTGGGCTCTTGACCCTTGACTTTTGAACATTAGCTTTTCTCCAGCTGCTGTAGCTGTGTGTTTCAAACGTGCATTTGTTATAGGAAAAATTGCTAAAGAAAATCTGATCAGATGATCAGATTCAATTATCATATAGTGGCCTGGTTCACTGATCTCATCCAGCGTCCAATACTGTATGTCCATATGTTACTTACATTGATAAATATCACATTATTGTAGCACTAAAATACTACTACATAAAATCCTGCCCTGCTTTGATATTTTGAAAGTTTTTTCAGTCATTATGCAGAATCATGTAGACTCACAGACATCTAGAGTCTGCGTATGAACAAAATATTCAGATAAACAGATCAACTCTGAACATCACAAAACAAGGTACTGTCTTGAGGTCCTTTGCCGATCCCGCCCCACTCTCTTCCCTGACGCAAAGAAAACATATTTTCTAATATATGAATGATCAATATATTAAACGACATAATGGTATATTAGAAATTATACAGAATAATATATTGTGTAAATATATTACAATATATTGAATAATACATAAGGAATTGCCGTTTTTCATATATTGAAAAATATGTGACAATATATTTTACTTATATATCACAATATATCTCATTTTATATTCAGTCAATTATATCCACTTTATAATATATAGATAAAATATGGTACTGCATGTGTAAAAATATATTAAACATATATTTACTCATGCAGTATATACACACGCATATGGAAATCTTATATTTAACAATAATTTATGTTATACATTTTTCATATTTTAAAATATAGCTAGTTTACAATAGTATAAGCACACCTGCTTATACTAAACACTTAGTGAACAGACTATCGCTGTGCTGAACAGTGCATTACCATTTACTTTTTAAATAAAGTAACATACAATGTAATGATGTTTGGCCAATCATCATCCATGACTCTTCTGCACAATGGTAACCCAACAAACTTACAAATACCAGAAACATTTACATTTCAAAATAATACAACACTAAACACTAACAGATATCCCCCTATATTAATATTGAGCAAAAACACATGAAATAACACTTAATTTTAACATTTTTACTCTTCTTTCCTCTTCTAGAAGCAAAGCATGCTGCATGGGAACCTGAAATCTGCTGTAACTCATTCAGTGAATGTGTGTTTATATGTGTGTACATACATTCACATTTATATGGTAACGTCTATGTGCAATACATACTCAATAAAAGATCAAACAATGAATATTTATTTTTGTCTTCATTTCTAAATATATTTGTATGTATCAATATATAGCTATATATTGTCAATGCATATATTACTGTATATTGAAAAATATAGGCACTAGTTTCCAATATATGGAAATGTATTATGCAATATATTGCATTATATTTTTGCAGTATATTACCATATATTTTTGTTTCGTATGGGTCCACCCAATGCTGTCCTGTCTGCTCTCTGTTGTCTTATCCAATAAAGGCATAAAAGCCTATAAATATAACAAACAAAAAAAAAAGTAAGTTTTTTAAGACGTATGAAAGCAATAAATCAGACTGGTTTGTAATAAGTGAAGATGCTGAGATCTAGAGAGATCTGTTAGTGTTTATTGTTCTGTTGCTGCCATGTTTTTTTTTTTATTACAGTGAATGTGTTTGATTGTAATATTTCAGGAAATACCTGTAAATTAACAGCTTATTTAAACAAGGAGATTTTACTTTAATGTTAAGGTTT